ACGAATTTTTAGAGAAAGTAAGTTTAGGTTAGTATTTTAATATAACTTCATTAATATATTTAATTTATTAACGTTAATATAATAATATTTATTTTAAGGTTGAAGAATATTTACAGTCAAATAATAAGTGCAAATTATTTGGATTTACTCAAAACCCAACCACTTATGAATATATGATAGTGTATGATGACAAATATATTCTTAAAAGAGATCCTAATTATGGAATATGTACGGATTGCAAACGCTTTAACACTTCAAAAGCTTGGTGTCAATCATGTGATCCTTGGAAAGCAGCTAAAGGATGGGAAAGTGAAAATAATGATATTGATAATCGCATTAAAAAATTTCAATTTGAAGCTACAGAATATGAAAAAGTAATTCCCTTTGAGAGATTGGATAATATTCAAGAGATTGCTCAGGGAGGATTTGGGCATGTATTTTCTGCAACCTGGTTAGATGGTAAGCGAAAAACTATTTATGATGGAGAGAAATATATACAGTCACTTACGGAACCAAGTATAGTCGCTCTTAAAAGTTTACCCGGTTCTCAAACAAGTCCAACAGAATTTTTACAAGAAGTAGGTTAATTGATTTTTGATTAATTATGTTTAGCAAGTATAAAGTATTTACGCAGTTTATTTTTTTAAGTTTAAAAATCATATGAAATGCAGATTGACAGGCAGTAAACTTGAGATATATGGACTAACTCAAAATATTGCTACAAACCAATATTTAATGGTATTTCAGTATGTAAATAGTGGAAACCTTCGTCATTATTTAAGGTCAAACTTTTATAAACTTACATCATGGAAAGACAAATTATTACGACTAAAAGATATATCAAAGGATTTAATTCAAATTCATGAAGCAGGATATGTTCATTGTGACTTTCACAGTGGTAATATTCTGCAACATAAAGAAGAATTATGGCTTGAAAAAATAATAAAGTCATTTATTGCAGATCTTGGATTGTCTCGAAATAATAAAGAATCATCATCGAAAAAAGGAATTTGCGGAGTTTTGCCTTATATTGCACCAGAAATTTTGTTAGGCAATGATTATACACAAGCAGCTGATATATATAGCTTTGGAGTTATTATGGCAGAAATAACTACTGGAATTCCACCATTTGATGGCTATTTGTTTGATAAAGATTTAGCTTTGAAAATTTGTGGCGGGTTGAGACCAGAATTTACACCAGGAACTCCTGCTTTCTACATCAACATAGCAGAATCATGCATGAATCCAGACCCACAGATACGACCTACTGCTAAAGTTCTTTATGATAAATTTTCAGAATGGTATAATTTTATGAGTGATTATGATACTGCTGACGAGGTTGATACGTTTGATGAACTTGATGAATTTGAAGAATTAGATGAAAAATCAGAAATAATTAATAAATTCTGGGAAGCAGATCACATGATTCAACAAATGCCAATAACGGCACAAAAAAATTTAGATAGCGTATATACAAGCAAGTTTATGAAATTTCTCAACAATTCAGTGCAGAAGTTAAATCAGGTAATATAACAGGTAAATATATACTTTGAAAAATTTATAGAATCTATCGATGTTTTTAAGGACTAATTTCACATACCATTCATGCCTTAGATCCTGAGCTTATTAATCTATATTTTAAGGACTAATTTAAAATATCTTTCTTGTTTTAGATTAAGAGTTTATTGATCTATATTTTATGTCATAAAATTAATTTTTATAATTTATTCATTATTAATCATATTTGAGTTGATTGAAATTGATGTTACAAATAGGTAGTTTATAAAGAATCGTTTATTGGATATAAGTAATTTCGCAAATGTAATTTATTTGTATTATTAGCGTTTATTCTATGCACTTTTTTTACAATTTCCACGCGATATAAATATTATAGTCTAAGCTTTGATTTATGCTTAAATACGTTCATGTGCATTATTTTGAAGTTATTTTAAGGTATGACTTCAAATAATGCTGATATTCGTATCTAATTTTTGTCGCTTTTCATGAAAACATAACTGTGCTTAAATGAAATAGATGAAATAGATATAATAATTTTATAATCACGGATGATATATATTTCGAGTTCAAAAGAACTATAACCGAGCTATAAAGCACATGCTAAAAACCTTGCAATGACGAGTTATCATTAGTGATGCCATTAGTTGATCAATTGATTGGCTTGTTATTTTTAACCTCTTTAACTTTGGATACATTGAGCTCCTCACAAAAATTTTACAATAATAACTATGGCTAAATGCTATGTTACTTAGAATATGGTGAATTTTTCTTTTAACAATTAAGATAGAAGCTTAGTATTTCAAAACAAAATAAGGTATTGTTTTTTTTATAATCTTTGGAAGCTTAGTATTTCAAAACAAAATAGGGTATTGTTTTTTTTATAATCTTTGTACTAAATATGTATAATAATGTTTCCTCCTTTCAATCGAAGAGATTTTAGAGTTTCATCTTTATGGAATTATCATTAACGGTTGGGCTGTTCCAATTTAAAGTAACAGAATCGATTTTGAACTTTTCTTTTAGAGCTTAAAGGGCAGTTTCATACCTGATTTTTTTAATTGCAAATGATTCGTTGGATTATTATTATTATTATGTTTTTTGGGATTATTTTGCCATTATTAGCAACTTGACAAGGATCAGCTATCAAAATTGATTGTTTTTTATATATTTAATTATACAGTTATATATTAAAGTAAATCAAAGTCATGTTCCTAAAAATTTGCTTCGGAGTTATTATTCTGAAAATATCCAAATATTTCAACAAATAGTGATAATACTTTCTACATCTAGCATAGTGTTTATTTCTTATTATTCTTTTTTCATTGATAGTGTCATTTGTTATTTTCATGCCACTAATGGTTAAAGTTTTTGAAATAAAAATTAATTCACTAAGTATAGTGCATTGCAATAAACCATTTATTCTACAAAAAATTTTCACTATCATAACCTAATAAAAGTTTTGTGCTTGGGTTACACATTAAGGCTTTTTTTTAATATTACCATATACTCATCATAATAAATAATATATAAAAAAAATAAGTACATCTAAAATAGTTAAATGAATTGATGCTCTCTATGTCAAATGAACTGACCACTCTATATCAATCAAAATGTCAAATAAACTGACTCACCCAAAATGTCAAATGAAAAATAATTGTTAAAATTACCCCTAGACAACTCATCACTCACCAGCCTAAATTAAGCTTAATTCTGGTCAATCAGTTAAGTTAAAAAATTCATTGGCCTAAAATATTTGAGTTTTTTGCCTAAATTAAGTAAGTTACAATTTGATAAATTTGATTAGTCAAAAAAAAATACAAAAACTATAAAAGGATGAGCTTCTCTTTTGAGCACCTCAGAAATTTTCTCACCCCTGAATACAAAGTTCTTTGAACTGTATTTATATTTTTTTAAAGAAAATAAGTAAAATTGATTATTTACTAACAAATTTACTAAAAATTTTTAAATATCTATATATTTTCTATATGTTTTTAGAGAATTCTTTACTTCTGGCAATGATTTTCTCAAACTTTACTATGCTAATCACTTACTGTGTATTAATTACAGATGATGATATGACCTTGGGCTAGTAGAATCTCAATTTTCATGCAATACAGACAGAAACTCATGGAGATATTTAATTTTTTGTAAAAATTAGATATATACATTTTTGGAAAAATTCTCTTGAAGAAAATTCTAATTCCGGAGACTTTGGTGAAATTAACTATATGAACATGTATTAATACAGTTGGTTTGTATTGTATTTATTTATTTACAGTTAAAATTTCAGCTCTCTAAAAACAATATTGATGAAATAATGAATTTTTTTCATAATCTTTTGTAGATACGAAAATTTTGATGAAAATACCTAAAATTTTTATTTTATCCCCAAATTTTGAAAACCTACATAATAATGTATGCTCAAATTTTACATACTAGTTGGGGCAATATGCAAATTTTTTCTGTAAAGTTTGGTGGGCCTTGAATAAATACTGGTGGAAATCTTAATTTTTTCTATTATGAAAACATCTATATAGTCTTTGCAGATCACTTTTTATATACGTTTTTTGGCTGTAGAGAGATATTTTACTAATAAAACAACAAAAGTTGTCTTATAAAACTAGTATAATTTTTGAAAACTCTACAACTTTCAGTAAGTATATAAATATGATTTTATTAATAAAATTTTGTATAAACTACATTTTTTGTTTTGACAACTTTTCTTTAACATAAAAAAAATTAATAAACTTCTCTACTAAATATTAATATACCTAGTAGATTTTAAATTATATAATTTAAAAATATCTCCAATAACTTCAAAATCAAAGTTTCAAAAATTCAATTTTACATTATATGAAAGGCTTGATACAATTCATAAACATATTATACAAATTTTTAATACAAAATCATGTCCTTTTTCTTAATTAAGATTTCAATTTGAAGTGAATAGCAAATCATCAGAACAAGAAAAATATTATATACAAGGCTTTGTTGGATTATATAAAGATAAACAAATAGAACTTGGATATTATAATCCTTTAACAAAAAGATGTTTTGAAAGTAAAAGAAAGTTTGAAGCAAATCTTTATGTTGATTATACTAATAGTTCAGATAAAGCATATTGTGAAAAGTGATTTAATTATTGTAAAATTTCAGAACATAATTATAATTCTAAAAATGGTGAAAGATATAAATGTGATTTTCAAGACCTTACAAAATTTTGTAAATTTTGAAATGAGAAATGTATAAGAGTATTTGCTTGAATAAGTAAAGATTTTTTAATTGCAGGGCTATTTGATTTTGTTTATGATGAAACTAAATTTAAAAAATAGAATCTAATTCAAATAAGTCTAAACAAGATGACAATTATAGTGCTTATGCTGAAGCTATCGATAAGCTTAAAAAAGAAAAAAGAAAGAATTAAACACAGTTCTTAAAACATATTCTTCATAATGTAAAAAGTGGTCTAATTACCTCAAAAAATGAAAATTCTTGCTAAAGTATTCCAAAATGAAGATATGAATCTTTTACAAAATATCTTGTAATATTGGAAACTTTGTATCATATACATATACAGAGACAAAGGAATAAGAAAAAGTGATTTTTGTCTTGATTTATTTTCTGGAATGTATAAAAAAGATATTATTAAACAATTTGAAGGTTATAACAATGAAAACTTTGATTATAATCAAATATAGTTAGTTATAACAAATATTTCTAAATCTGAACCTGGAAAAAGAAAATTAATATTTTCTTCAAGAAATAATGATGTAAAAAAAATTAATTTACTTCATGATTCTAAATCAAATTCAGATCAAACTTCTAAAAATTTCATACAACAGTTGAATTAAATAATGGAATCGAAAATGGATTTTAATTTAGATTCCTAAATCAAATTTTCAAATTAAAACAACTATTAGTATTCTGAAATTTTTAGTGAATTAGATTTCGAATTATTAGACCTTCATTCAGATGATTCTAATTATACATGTAAGCAAAAGAAAGATAAATTCAGAGCTATTAATGAAGTTAATATTGATAATGATATACAAACTATTATTCAGAAACATCAAGAGCTAAACAATAATAGTAAATGTATTTATGAAACTAAGAAATATTTAGTTGGTAAAAATGATTTGTTTAAAGATCATGTATTGGATATTGGTAAAGATTCATTAGTAATTAAAAAGACAAAAATTGATATAGAATCTAGTACAGTAAAATTGGATAAAAATAATTCTTTATATTCTGGTTTTAATTGATTAATTAAAAAAATTTAGCTTTTTATTTTTTTTTATTTTTATTTTTATTTTTTTAAACTTTGGCATATCTTGCCAGATATTTATTTTAGTAATTAATTCATGTGTACAAATGATGCTAGCTAACTAACATAGATGGTAAGTGATAAACTCTAAGCCTGTTGGCAAATAGTATATGAGAACTATTTCTAA